ATCATTTGAAAGGATAAGCTAAAGCACCTACTTTTTACAAAAATTTCCTCAAAAAAAGTAGTGGTCCAATATGAGTATGTGAGGTTCTTCTTGTAAGTTTTATAGTTGTATAGTCTAGCTTCTCTATTTCTACTAACTTAGAAGTATATATTGGCTACTTCTACAGACTTGTTTTCAGAATAACTCATCTGGTTTAAATATTAAATACTTTAGAGATTCTGTCAAAGAAGAAAAACTTGATTCTAAAAAAAACTGTTTATTTTTTTGACATTTGCGCTTTAGTATTTCACATCTAGATACTTAGACTTTATCAACAACAAGCTGCTTTTATTTATAGGACCAAGTTTAGTATCTACTTTGTTGCTTTTCTATATGTTTTGCTATAGTTCAGTTTTTTTGTTGTTGATCAAAAGATTATTAGAAAGAGTTGATTGTTAAGAATTTATTTACTTTATTATTATAACTAAAGTTTTTTATAATACTTTAATTACATATAGTATTAACTATTCTATATCTTAAATCTTCTTCTAAAATTTTTATTTTAGTTATATACTGTATTTAGATTTGATTACAGAGCTTTGTATTTAATTTAATATCCAAAAATTATAAAAACAAATATTAATTTATCTTTAATCTAACTTGAACTATTAATCTTGTTTATAGAGATTTGAGAGCTTAACCAATAAGCTATAAAGTCTAAACTCTTTATATATAGGTTGAATTAATAGAAATTAAGCAAATTTTTTTAATATTTTTTTTTTTAATTTTTAAACAAAAATAACTTAATAAAACCTAACCAAATAGGTTTGAGTCCTATAGCTTATTGATCAAGCTTCTAAATCCTTATAAACAAGATTAACAGTTCAAGTTAGGCTAGTAACAAACTTTTAAATTTGTTACTATAATTTTATAGAGCTATAATCAAATGTGAAGCCCTGTAGAAAGTATGGTTCTAAAATAAAAATCTTCAAAAAGAGCTTTGCTTATGAAGTGCAGACACTATATATAATAATAGTATTATAAAAGATTAAGATTATAAAAGATTATTGCAAATTAGTCTTCTAGTTGGAATGACTTAAAGATAATATTAACATCCCTTCATCTTTATATAAAGCAATATTAATATTTTTATATCTAACTTATAAAATATAGGATAATCAATAGATTATATATATAAGTTCTTATTTAGAAAAACAGTATTAAGTATTGCTTAAGAAAGTAATATAATACTATTGAAACTAAAACGATAAGAAAAGTAACAAATATGCAAAAGAGCTGTAGTAAAAAATTGACCTTACTTAAATTAAAAGCATCTCTAGCACTATAAAATAATTAGCTAAAGAAGATAATTTCATAGAGACAAGCTAGCTAATCTAGTATATATAAAAGTACCAAGTTAGAGCTCTAATTATACCTATATAGAAGTTAATAATAAAAGAAGCTAGAATATACTAATAATAATACAACATCAATTAATAGATAAGAATCCAAGTTAAAAGTCAAGATAAATTAAAGTTTTCCTCTTAGTAATATAATACAAAATCTATATTTAGAGTAGTTTTGCTTGCTATTTAAGAAATTTTTTTTGTTGATTTTAATCTCTCTCTGCTATTCTGAAGGTTCTAGACATCTTAGGATTTTCTCTCACTCTCTAAGGCTAAAGTTATCATTTGGCAGAGATTAATGGTCGGCATATGGCCTCTGATTTGTTACTGAACTCATGCTCTATTAAGTCTGTCTCTTAACATTCCGGGTCCTACATTATCTAAGTTTGCAGTTCTCTAACTTCACATGACCCATCAGTCAGATCACACTTTATAATATCCTTATCACGTTCTTAAACTGGATTTACTCAATTTTTACATCATTTGTTAACAGATTCGCCTTATTTGGTCATCCTCGACCCTGTGGCTATGCCGACAGGCTGCATTCTGCATATATGAATCCTGCTTCTTCTTTATATAGAAAGTGTCATCTTGAAGATCATTCAGTCATAGTCTTGACAAAGCCTTGTCCTCTAGTTGGATTCGAACCCACAACCTTGCGACTGTAATCTGAGAGCACTAATCACTGTGCTATCGACCTATAGGTCACTATTTAAGAAATTTTATAAGAACAGTATTATTTATTACCTGATTTTTTTTTATCAAAAGCTTATCTCTCTTCCTCCTCTTAATATATAATTTGATCAGATCTTTATATATAATTTTAAAATTTTTACATCTCCTCTCTCCTCTCCTAAAAAATTATCTGATTTTTATTACGTCCCTAATATTAAGTTAGTTTTTAATAAGATAGGTTATTAAAAGAATATTATAAAATAAGGTTCTGATAATATACTATATAAGAAAGTACAAATTGGTTAGCTAGTATTACTATATCAGAAAAAGAATATTAAGTTTTAAGGTTGGCAAACTAGTGATAGTAGCAAAAATTTAGCTTGAGATATGGGTTAATAATATCTAAGCAAATAAGTAAAAAAAGATCAATAGAGAAATATACTTCTAAAGAGATAAATATTATAGTTCTTAATTAGATGTTCTTGTTAATATAATATCAACTCTGTTATATGACAAACCTAACTAGATAGCAAGTTTCTGACTTGAGATATAGATAGTAAAAAGCCATCTTTACTAGCTACAGTTGTACTAATAGAGACCTTAGAAGAATTTATAATAAATTGTATCTATAAGTACTTAGCAGAAATCCGAGTTTTTTTAACAATATAATTATTATATTTAAATAATATAATTTTAAAGAAAAATGTTTTTTGTGCACCTGCATAGTTATGCATCCCTTCCAATTACGCAAATCATCATGAAATAAATCAATATGTAAAGTTCTTTTATGATATACATACATACATATGTACATATGTACATGTATATGTATATACATGTAAAGACAAGTTGCGTAATATTTTTGTTAAAGTCTTTACAGAAACAGCCAGGGTGGCTCTCCCAAAGTGCTAGCGATGTAATTACTTCAGCAATTAAGTAATACTATATATACTAAATCATCGCTTATTATTAAATATATAGTATAATTTGATTGGTAAAATGATTTATATTACTAGCACTTTGGGAGCCACCCTGGCTATTTCATCTTTACAAAAAATTTTCTCTCCTGTAACCTATTCTAAAGATTATTTTGATTTTACATTTCATCTGATCTTTCGATCTAATTAGACAAGAGGAAAGAATTTTTTATAAATAAGCTTAACAACTGTTTTTTTCGCATATATTGTAATGTTTTTTTTCTTTGGGATCATTATCTTTTTTTTTTTTTTTTTTATAGTCAAGGTTAGCCTCTTCAGCTTATTGCTTTTATTAGATATTAGGATCATGTAGTATTCTTTTCAAGGGGGCCCAGACAAGTACATTCTGATGAGAATATATTTTAGCCATATCTGCACCTTTTGGGTGCCTAATTAAGTAATCTACCTATGTGCTAGGTGCTACATTAGATGCTATACCTGTAACCCACTATTACTAAAATTATCTGATTAAACACTCTAATCTGAGTTTCCTATATCAATCCATCTAACCTCATCCAGAACATATGATATATAAGTCAGCCAAGTTCTAAGATCGTCGCATCTACCTATAGGACTACTGGCATAGTTAACTGATTCATCCTCGAATACGTCACCTGCTAGAGTAGTCCGGTACCTACTATTCCTGTATTGCTTAGTCTTCTTCAGTAACTTACGCCGAGTCCGAGGACAAGTACTTGCAAGCCGAGGCTATTATAATTATCTACTACCACTCTTATAGAGTTTACCCAAATACCGGTATACTTACAAACTTTTCTCAGTCATTCTAGCTATTTCAAACTATCAATTCAGATGGCCCAGAAGGGCTATAGCCTGCCTCTGGTCCCCACGATTAGATCCTTTTCCTTTGGTAAATTATTTTCTTTTTTACTATGCATATTTAGCTTTTTTATTTAGTAAAAACAACTCCACAACAAATAAAAAACAATAGCAATAGCAAAAACTCTTGGTAAGTATTTTTCATACTTTTGTTACTATTTTTATCATTACTTTTTTACATGTATTTATATTTTGCTTAACAAAGGTCAATGAATAAAGGTATAATAGCAGAATTATAAATACTGCTCTTGGTTTTTTGGAGTAAATCTGATATGACCCTGAAATAAGAAAAAACAATGCTTTTACAATGTACACTTTTTTGTAAATACTGTAGCAGTATAACTACAGCAACCCAAAATAAAGATACAATCCTTTTGACAAAAGAACAAATAACAATAGCACAATCTGAAAGCATAACCCAAAAGTAATCTAATAACGAAGGTTAAGCTAACAAAAGGTGATAATATTAGTAACAACAAATGTCTAACAACAACAAACGCCAAGCAACAACTAACGCCAAGCAAACTCTAGGAAAAATGATGTAGATCGCAAAAGACAAATTACACTTGCCAAGATCATAACCAAACCAACTTATAAAATGATAGCTATAATTTATTTGTAAATTATTTTGTACTTGTCCTTAGTTTTTATACTTACAGCTATTCTTTATAATTTCTGTTTCAAAGTAGATAGCACTTAATGAGAATATATCTAACTCCAATGATTTTAATAATTTTAAGTATGATGGGTTGACACATAGTCCTGAGCTTGATGGGCTGATATATAGTTCTGAGCCTGATGGGTTGACACAGAGTCTTGAGCCTGATGGGCCAATGCACAATTTTGAATTAGAGGGGCCAACACATAATCTTGAGTTAGGTGGGCCGGTATGTGATTTTGAGCTTAATAGGCCTTATCTAATTCTATAGCTGAAAATGAAGATGTTAGATAGGGCTATTCTAAGAACAAATTGTGTAAAGGGTTGATTTTTTAAAGTTGGAAAGAAGTGCTTGATACACTGAAAATCTATTCTCAATAAGAAGGATTTAAATTAAGAAAGGGCCGTGTTGAAAAAACTCCTGATGGAGCTATATGAAAACAAACAATATTGTGCAAACATAGTAGTAAATATAAATCTAAAATATGCAATCAATTAGGGAAACAAGCACAAAGTATATTGAGTGTTAGTGGTATGCAAATTTGTGCAATCTATAAAGAACAATCCTAATGGAAATGTCTATCTTACTACATTAGAGGATAATCATAATCATAACCTGTCCTTTATCAAACAAAGTTTTTTAATGATAGTGAACTTACTCAAGAAATGTATAAGCAGATAGAATTTTATATAAATGATGTTAATTTAAAGCTACTACAGATTCAGAAAGCTTTACGAAAAGAATTCCCTAATTATGAAGTTTATTTTTTTGAGATCCATAAGGCAATGGCAAAATATTATAGTGAAAAACAAAAGGATATGTCAAATGATTCTACATCCTTGTATGAAGAATTAATAAGAAGAAAAAATGAAAATCCTCGTTAGTATGTTGCAATTGATTGGGACTGAGAATCGCATAATCTTCAAAGACTATTTTGGATGTCTCCCGATCAGATTATCCTTTGGATAGAGTTTACACAGGTTCAATAAATACATAAAGGATACATAATGGGATTCCTTTATCATCCCGATATCTATCCTTTATGTATCTATTCTCAATCTGGTTTGCTACAGTTTTTTGGCGGATGTATGGTAACATAAAGGATAAATATCGGTACAATATATAAGAT